CCACAGCAATATAATTTCACCCTTTCTGTCAAACAGTCATGACTCAACTAGAACAGGTCCCTTCATGTGAAGTACACTAGCAAGGCTCACCCAAGCATCTTCAGAACCTAAGGAAATTATGCAAACTAAGAAGTGAGAATAACATCCTAAATACACAAAAATGAAAAAAAACGCACTATGTGTTTCAAGTTACAACTACCACTTGCTATGCTCAAACTCCTGTGTTATATTTGAAAGCTCCTCCAGTACACTTGGATCAATCACTGCCAAACTGCAGGTTCGCAGGCTGTGCAGTCAATGACACAAGCAGCGTGACATCCACTGTGTGACATCTGCTGCCACTGTCAGATGAGAGCAGCTGAGGAGCCTGGTGACAGGCAAGATGAAATGTGTAAAACCTATTTGATATACACTGTCTACAGCTCTGTTAACCTCTCTCTACTCAAGTGAGCTTTTCCCCTTGCTTTAGCCATATCTAACCTCTAAGACCCCAAGCATGCACTACGCTTGCTTTATGCAGTTTTTCCCCTTACAGGAGGGATGCCAACACTTGGGTTTCAGAAGTTCAATTTTTACAAAATTGAGTCCATGTCCTAGCATCCTCTTGGATTCTAATGGACAGAGATAGGTGATAGAGAAGGCCAGTGTGTCTAGGAACAGATTGTAAAATATTTTATTTTGTCATCTTTCCACACATTATAAATTCCTTCCTATTAATTCCATTCTGTTTATTGCCTTTCCCTCATCTTGCAATTCCAAACTCTTTACCCTAATTACCTTCTATTACTTCTTTCAGTCCCTCCTTCCCCCAGAAAGCTATATGAATTAAATACCTTCTTTTCAAAAGTAATCCAAGTTCATTCTCTGCTTGTGTAAGTACTTTATTTTAAAGTACATGAATATTTGGGAAAAATTCTCATTAGAGGGATATGTAACACCCCTCAAGGTTTTAGTTCTGAAGCAATCAAATCTTAAGAAAATATTCTGTTGCTTCTTGTTTGAGGCAGGATTAGGGAAATGGAATAAACAGAATGGAGTAACTGGTTTTTTCTGCATCATATACCCAGGATAATGTAGTTTCTCAAAGAACTTCTTATGACTCAAAAACCCAAATGCTACAACCGAAGTCATCCTTCCATTTAGCTATAACAACTTCCACCCTCCCAAGAAGACATGCAGCTTTTCTAAGGAAACAGATTTTTTGAGGACAACAACCTGAATAAAGACACAATGCATTTTTCTCCATGCTGTACTCCAAAGTAGTAACGTGGAAAACTAACAAGTTACTATAAGTAATCTGTTCTATATCATTCTACTTTGGAAGATTTCAGGAAGTTGTGATTAAAATGTATTGTAAACTGTGACACCACCTCTCAGTTCTGCAAAACTTAACAAGCAATGTAATAGCTCTTACAGAAGAACATCTGTGACTAATCCAGCTACTACTAATTAAGTGATCTTTGACCTACTAAGGCACGTTGGCATAACATATACAGCTTAATTATTCATACATTACTACTTGATACGAGTTGCAATGGACCTTGCCCCTACTGTTTGACAGCAGAAAAGTAGGTAAAAGTTGCTACCTCTCCTTCCTGGTATCATTTCTATAACTGGTAATTCTATATTAAAATTAACACATATACTATGAAGAGCCTGTCAGATAACTTTCTTGTTACACATTCAAACACATTTGATCTGCTAAAAGAAGACTTTCCTTCTTTTTTTTCAATTTGTACATTGTTTTACTTTCCAACTTTGACCAGCAGCAGACCTACTGCTAACATTCCAGCAAAACTTAAAAAAAGCACACAAAATAAAACAGAAAACAGACAGCTACTCCAGGAAAACATGATATAATAGCATACATACTTGATGTTCAAAATAAGGTATAAGTATAAACACTGAAATGTGTATTCTGAAACTACATGAGGAAGGAAGAAGTTTTGCAGGTAAAGTTGAGAGTTGCACACGAACACTTCCATGATTCACTTGAATGTTAAGGCCAGTGTTTGGCTGTTTATATTGAAGTCTGTATCATTCACCTTTGCCCTTAGGAAGCTCAAAACTAGACTTTCACCTTCCAGAATTCAAGAAGCTGAAATTCAGCTCACACTAACATGACGCAACATTTTCAGGCATTATATACCAAGGTTAACAAAGGAATTCACACATATAAAACTAAATCACCACTATTCCTCACATCTTTTAGTCAGTTAACCTCAAGCAGACTACCAGTCCTCTTCCAGACTATCTGGATTGCCAAATGAAATTCTTCTCCATAGGAATAAGTACAAAAATTGAGGACAGCCATACCCTCCCAACTTCTTGCTCTTCCCAAAGAGACAGGGAAATACAACACAAAAATTAAAGGGTACACTAGGCCCTGGAGATTTTTATCATCACTGCATAAAGGTTGTGCGCTTGTTATTATATGTCAGCATCATATACCAGCATAAGAATGCTGAAATATGTAAAGATTTGGCATGATGACAATCCTTTGCAAAAGTATGCTCTAATTTACATTAGCAACAAAGCATGAAGAAATGAATGATACATGAAATAATGAGACTAAAGGAGGATGAGGCAACGGTAATAACCAGATGGTTTTGTCTAGGCTGGTGATATAGGCAAAGTAGCTTACCTACTGCCTAGTCTTGATAGGTAGCATTCTGTAAGGCTCCTGGCAAGGTTTGCCTCACAGGGAAACATGGAGAAAAGAATGAAGACCAGTGGGCAAAAACCATCCTCAAAATATCATTCAAGCAGCAGCACAGCTATTATTGAAACAACCGAATGTTGGACGTTAGAGTTTGGAATCCACAGCCACAATACAGTACCACTAGTAAATAAGACCTAAGCAGTGGAGGGACTCAAAAGCATAAAGCAACATATAAACACAAGTGAAACAATCAAGTCTGCAAGCCTGGTACTTACTTCAGCAACTGCATTTCTAACAGATTCGAGAATGCAAAATTACTATAAAGAGAAGATTATAGAAGTAAGGGACAAAGGATCAGAAAGAATGCAGTTCAGAGAGAGGAAAAGGGACAGATGAGGTCAGGCTCTCACAAGTCCAGTCAACTGCTGAATTAGCTCGAATGTAATTCATAAGTTCTCTCTGCTTTCCAATTCTCACTAATCTTGTAATAGTGTTTGGTCCACCAAATACATATGAATGCCTCAGATTTTTAACACTGTACGTAGCAAAATTCAAGATTCATAAAGGAAGGACACATTCCAAATACAGCATTAAGGCTAATGCTTACTTTCAGAACATTGACTCTCAAGCCAATACATGCATTGCCATTGTCAAATCCTGCAGATCAACGTCAGAACACATACAAGCAAAATAGTTTAGTGGGGACAACCCAGGATCCACATAACATTTATTTCAGGGATAGGAAGATTACTCTAGACAAATTCTAGCTGCCTTCTATGAAATGAATGCTACTAGTAGCAGGAATATATTAAATGCACTTCAAAACTACACTGGACTTGCATCTATGTTTGAAGATGTGCTTCAATCTGAATGTAATCTGGTTTGTGTGCTCCAAGATCACCCCTCAATAAAGGCAGAGCAAGGTAAGTGCGGACAATTAAGATTCACTTTAAAAGAATATTCTTGATCTGACAACACACAGATGCTCCCAGAACATCTGCATGGCCTAGTCTTTCTTACAAATACCACTATGATATATCAGGTGGGAAAATCTCACACTACAGCGTAACTGTCCCGGCCCATTATTTTTGTGCCTTTCCACTCAGCTTTTCTCCTTTTTTACAACAGTATTTCACTAATTTGGGCAGAGAGATCTGAAAAGAATCATCCCTCCCTGTGAGTTTCACAGAAGAGTAACTCTCAGCCACAGTTTGGGACCTCAAGCAAATGCATGAATTGTCAGCAGTGCATCAACGTCTGACATGTTGTATGACATTACCCAACTCCATGAAACTCTTACAGATATCATGTATGAAGCGATTTAGGTAAAATAAAACTGGATTGTTGCTTCATCATAGGTATGTTATTACAAAAGTCTGTTGAGTAAGTCCCTTTCACGAGTATCACTACAAGATACCTAACTGTAATATTGTAACATGCCAGGTCTTTAGCATATGGTCATAATCCTACAGCCAAAAATAGAGTGGAATTGTGAAAGCATTGAGTCTGAGATACGTTCTTCATCCACCACACTACATGGCACCAGTGCTTTGCAGAATATTAACGAATCCACACCCGAGCAGCGTACACCTGAAAAGCAACCACACAGGGAACATCACCAGATTCGGCCTCTTTGAAACTGTTGTCCGTGTTCCTTATTGTCACACGGCTGCATTCAAACAACACCTGAGGTCCACGAGCTGCCTATGCAGACACGGACATCCCTATAAGTCACCTGTTAATGTTCAGAGCCAGGAAAACAGAAAAAGCGAGCATAATTTGGGTAACAAGGTGGCGATGGCTGGACACTCACAAGAGGGGCACCGACCTCACCCCGGGGAAAGCGGTGGGGGAGCAGCCTGAGCCCTGTACTCGGGAGCCTCCCCGGGCAGAGGGCGGCGGCGGCGGCAGCGCCCCATGCGCGGCACAGGGACGCGGCCGCCCCTCCGCCGGGCCCAGGGCCGGGGAGGGCGAGCACAGCACTGCCCGCTCCGGCCTCCCGGCGCCGGCCCCGCGGCTCGCGCGGCCCGGCCCGCCCCGCTCCCCCAGCCCCCGCTCACCCGTGCTGCGCCGCCGCCCGCCGCTTGCCGAGCAGGCAGAGCAGCGCGCAGGCGGCGGCGGCCCCGGCGATGGCGGAGTGCCGCGCGGTCAGGAACTTGCTGTAGGCGGCCATAGCGAGCGCAGCGCGGAGCCGCCGAGCCGAGCAGCGCAGCCGAGCCCAGCAGTCGAGCGGGGGATGCCGGGAGGGGGCGGTGCCGCCTTGCCCCGCTCCGCCGGCAGGACGGGCCGCGCCGTGCCGGGTGCGGGTTGTGCAACGGGCCCGCGGTAATTACCGCTCCCTCGCCGTTCCCGGGCACAGGGCGCGCCCCCGCCGGCCGCAGGGAAGGGGTCGGGCCTGCCGCCGGCTGCCCTGGCCCGAGGTCGGGTTGAGGAGCCGGAGGCCGGGCCTCCCCCCGCATCCCGCGGGTTCATCTTCCCAGGCACCCTCGGCTCGGCACCTCCGGCCGCCTGGGGTCCGGTAATTCACTGCCACGGGAGTCTTTGTACAGGGGTAGAGGGTGTTTCACAAGTGTGTATTAGGAATGACTTGTAAGTGTGGTGACAATACTAAATATTTTTTAAAAAAAAAATTCAGAGAAACTATTATGCAAGTTTTGCCACACTGCTTTGTTTTCTTGTTTGGTTGGGGTTTTTTGTTTAGTACCATGAGAGGAGCTGCTAAGACTGGCTGTCAGAGCGTGGAATGAGTTCTCACCCATCAAAGTTCAGGAAAACAATCCCTATAAGAGGCAGAACCACGCCAGGCACAGCGGGAGATACCAACCAGTCTTCTCCCACAAAACCAGTTATACTCGCATGGGTGCTTTTTCCAGCAGAATTAATAACAGGTTGTCAAGTTAAGCTGTACCAATAAAAACACCCATGCCAGCATAACTGTATTTACACTGGATCTTCCCTTGTGATCATATCCCTCAAACACCTGATAATGTATATGAAGTGGGTGTACTTTCCATAGGAACTGGTCACTCATATATTGAAAACCTGCATTGATGTAATGGTTAACACTGAAATGACAAAACAATTTCTCTGATCAAACTTAAATGCAAATCAAAAGGCAGTTAGAATCAATAGTATCTGGTTTTAGTTTCAAAAAAATGTTTTCATACAGGCTTTTAAAAACATTTGAATACCTTTGAATACTGTGGTTTTGTTACAACAGTTAGAATCAATAGTATCTGGTTTTGGCCTCAAAAATGTTTTCATACAGGCTTTTAAAAACATTTGAATACCTTTGAATGCTGTGGTTTTGTTACTGTAGTATAAGAGTGTGCATCAGTCCATTTATCGAATATTCTTATTTCTTCCAAGTATGTCTGCCTGGAGTAGCAGGGCTGAAGCTGCAGTTTAAGAAGTAATCCCTGGATCTTCATTCTCAATCACCAAATATACTTTTCTTACTTGCTCCCTCTCCCTATCCTTGGTATCATCAGACACTTTGGGGCAAGTTTATGTTTTGATATAAAAGCTGGAGTCTCAAACCAGCTTTTCTCAACCAGCTTAGTCTCAGCCCTAATTGTTAGCATTTTCTAGAGCAATAGAGTCAGGACTGCTGCATCTAGTTCTCTGGCACTTTTTCTGTGATTTTTGACAAATCAGTAATCTCCCTGCTTTATAATATTGCTGTACATTGGTGGTTTTGGTGGGGAGAGGGGATGCTAAACTATTTGAAGTGTTTCAGATCCTCAGGAAAATATACATCAGAATCACACAGCATTAATAAATTAATTTCATTTTATAACATGAATTTGTGAAAATATCTTGATTTTTAAAATCTTAGATACTTTGGCAGTAGGTAAATGGGTGAACTTAAGCAAGAGGTACTTTCTTTATCAAAAGAAACTTCTTATACTAAAATCATTACAAAAATGAAAATTTCCAGAAGTTTTCAGGTTTATGAATCTTTGTTATACAGTTTTACTTCTATTTTAATCTCAATTTCAGCGCAGAGATAAGAGCATTATGATATAGCTATGCTTTTCTTTACAAGTTCTCTTCCCTCTTTAAGCTTAGGTTGATTGTACCCTTCCACAGAACTTGCTGTCTAACAGTCTAACTTGTTTACATGAAATGTCCATCAGTTTGGGCCATGCTGACCTTTGTTGTTTGCATGTCTGCATGACTCGCCTTCTGCTGTTTGTCTGCTTCACTGTCCTTATCCCACTTTTTGACACTAGCCAATACCATGTCCTACTACATATTTTATTTCTCTTCTAACTTGTCCGTAAATAGTTTCACATATTATCTTCTGGGAAACTTGACTCGTGCATCCAACCTTCCACTGTGTCTTCTACTACCTCCGCTCTTGAAAGTTGCTTTTTTTTTTCAGAATAACTTTGTTAGCATGATTGATAAATGAGCACTTAGTTTAAAACATGAGGTTTTTATTGATCCATTATTTCATCAGTTTCCAACAGCACTCATGGCTAAGCATATCCTTGATAAAACAACACATGCTGATCAAACGCTTTTGTGATACAAGCTCCTTTTTTTTTGTCTTGAATTTGAGATCTGCTGCATTTCTGTACTTTATACTTTGCAGCCATCTTGCTTTCTTGGTATTCTTGGTACCAGTCAACTGTGAGGCTTTTCCAAGGTAGCAGATAAGAGCAATATTAATTCAAATGTATCTCCACTGTAAACGCTAGAGGTGGAACGGTAGCTTGGAAGAAACAAAGAGTAGCATCTCTGTCACCTGTATTAGTACTGCTGTGTGTAGTTTCTCTGAAAAAGCAAGGTCAAATTGACAACTGTCCTTTTAATATGGTCCATGGTATGGTTCAAACTTCTTACTAACTATGTAGGGACATCCATAGAAAGCAAGCTATTTAAATGAGAAAGTGCACTCTGGAAGACTGAAGCCTGTAGGAAGATGCATATTTACTATTAAAGCCTTAAATACCCTAATGGACATCATGAGGCCTCAACATCAAGGGATAGGCTGTGGTCCTGTGTCTGAATTGTTAAGCAGTGTTATCTTCGTAAGCAGTTCTTCCATATCCCAATTTAAAAAACAAAGTCTGATTAATAAAAAGCAGTAATAAAATTCCTAAACAGTTCAGATTCTCAATTCATGTCCTCACCCAATCTTGGTTTAGACCCTTGAGTCAAAGTCAGAAATATAAGAAATTGTTATGGAGTTAATATTTTGTCCTACTAATAGTTATGTGAATACATTTTTTTAATGGAGTCTAGGTTACCAGATAAGAAGATGCTCTGATTTGGTTTCTCCCAGAACAGGAAGAACCAGTATTATTTGCTTTTGGCACTTGGCATACAACAACCAACTATATTCTGAGAACAACATGTCATCTAATAACTAAATGAAAAATCTTGTTGTTTATTGTAGGTCCAATGTAACATATATTAATATCACAGAGAGCAATTTGCAAATGTTGTGAAAGGTGACAGAAGAATGAGATTAATTTATGTAAATTGAGGTAAACTGTAAGATGCAAACTGTGTATCATGTATGTTAGTTAAGTTTGAAGGTGATTTGTGTAGTGCTGGACTCCATTCCGTAGACTTAGATTTGCTTAATTTTTAAGTCTGTATCAATTTGGTAGGATTGTTCACTTGTTTAATGTTAAGTAAAGTACTGTGATATTGATAACTTAATAACTAGTGGAGTAAGAAGGAAAGTTCCAGGAATTGATGTGATCTCTTTTGTGAAATCTGTGTTATCTCCTAGTTATATCTCTTAGTTGTAGAATCTGGCATGGTTTGCAGGGAAATTAATGAACTTCTCTATTAATGCTGCGATCAGCATTAAGTGATAAGGTTTTGTCATTCTGCTGAAGTGCTGTATCAGTGTATTAAGTTTGTTGGTTGATTTTTAACAGAAGGAAGTTACGCATCTGAAGTTGAGCTACATTTTATCATGTATCAGTTCATATATGTGTAAATGTGGGTATATGAATAATGATACAGATTATTCCCAGTGACAACCTCATTAATACAACTTACATCTGCAAAATGGTATCATTATGTGTACAGTCACTTTGTAGAACTTCAAACTCCAGTGCGGGTGAAGTAGTGTGGATATGGTATCAGCCACTCAAAACCCATAAGCCTACACCTCCATGAAACATATGCTGATTATAACACAGGTTTGATCTTCAGAGTGGGGCCTACGGGGTGAAATTGGAATGGATATAAACTTTCTTTGATCTACAGAACACAGAGAGAAGACATGCTTCCATTTCTTTGTATCTCCTGTTTTCTCTTCTTTTTCTTGCCCCTTTCTTACCTCCTGCTTGCCCTCAGATGATTGATGTGTTACAGGAACTTGAGATGTGAGAAACTAGTCTTTCTGAGCAGTAAGTAAAATAGGGGGGTAGTGTAGGCAAAAGAGGACAAGTGGTGTATAGAAAAAAAATACTTAGAGATCTTAGGATGTACAGAGCATTGGCTTTTAAATATATTGGTGCTTGCAGACTTTCAGTGCCATTACTGCTTCACTCTCCCAGTCTATGGGGATGGGGTACTTTTCCTAATCTTTATTAACTGACACCATATCCCACAAGAGTTTAATTGCTACACACAAGTCTCCTTCGTGCAATTCCTTGATTTCTGATTATTTTTTTGCTTTATACACCTGGGTTTTCTGACATGACTATGATCTATCCTCTATAAAAACAACTCTTACCTCTACTTAATACCTCATGCCTTTTCAAAATAAAGATGACAGATCATTTTTTATAATCACAGCTCATAAATTTAGAAGTCCAGGTGAAAATGCAAAAGTACATAGGACTTATTAGATCAGACTCAGAAATTATGTGGTCTTCTCTCTGTGCATGGATAGTATCAGATACTCTGAGAGATGGTATAGACTCCACATATCTGCTTTCCTAGTGGATTTTACTCTAATTTCAAACATTTACACACTGATTTAGTTCTAAAGTATGTTGTTTGACACCCATTCTAGTTTTTGTTGTCATTAAGTATTATAATTACTCATACTCTGATGGTTCAGAAAACACACTGGTATTTCAGATGAGAGAAAACAACTGATTTGTACTAAGAATTCAGTTTTCATTTGCTTTCCTGGTTAGTTGGCATCTGGTTCTGACTTTTCTTTCTGAAAGATGTCTCAACTGAGCTGTTCACATTGATGCTTAGAATCCTGATACTCCTTTTGTGAGTCAATTTTGTTGGACAACCTGTGTAAAAAACAGAATTAGATCTTCCTCCAAAATGCAGTACTCTGCATTTCTGAACAGTCAGTGTCAGTTGGCATTTTGAGCTTCTCTTGCCTACCTTGTTTGGACTAGGTGAGTGGGTAGAAAAATGGTAACTGAAACTAGATGTTCCTGTTTAGCTTGTTCAGTTTTTTTCCTGAAGTGGATTAGAGCTCAGTTTGATCTTGATAGCTTTTGGTGATCTGAAAGCCAAAGTATTTCACTGCTCAACATTTATTTCTAGCTTATCTCAAATATTGGAGACCAGAAGCCTTAT